TAGGTATTTAATGTTTTAAAGCTTTTGCAAAGAAACTATGAATGAAATTATACTGACACTACAGTGCATGCCACAAAGTTCAACTACGCACTAGCAATGAACAATTATTCAGCTTCAAATTGAAATCATGACTTGAAACAATTCAATTAGCAAGTTGCAAAGGCTGCAATTGAGGACATATGCCGTGCAGCCTGACTCAGGGTTCAAACTGTTGTGTAAGTGGTTTTATAAATTCATGACATCCTGTGTGACAGCAACAAGCTTTTGAAGCCACCTCTTGTGGTAACACACATCAAAAGTTTAAAATTTATTACACAGTGAGTATTGAACTGAAGCCTGACTTTCAAAAATGATATCACAAATCAAAACAAAAAAGTTTAGAGATGTCCTCCAAGTCGTTCAGCAAGACTACCTGGGCAACGTAGCAGAAGGTTTAGTAGTTAAAGAGCTTCATTTTTCCATCTAAATAAAAAGGACATTTTGGTATTGATTTGTTGTGAAACATGACTTCAAACAAATCTTAATGTTCTTCCTTGGACAGTCATTATAACAACTGTATGCAACACGTCAATAACGCTACCCCCTAGTGTCCAAAAAAAATCTGAATAATAAATAAATAAATTAAATAAAATGCACCTTGCAGGTATAGGCCTTGATTGTACTTGTGGACATGGACATGGACATCTGCAGACATCATGTAGTTGTTCTCTAGATTGCTTGAAGGGCGTTCCATACATGTGTAGTAGACTGGTGTCTAGTTATACCACACATGTACGCTACTGCTGTTGTAGCATTGTCACAAGGACAGGAATTTTTGGCTGCATGTGGACGTCCACGGAGGGGTCCAGCATAGTCTCACGTACTTAAGGAGATGACAAAATGACGTCATGTGGACCTTAGTGGATCCTTGTGTACTAACACCGGCCATAGAAACAACAGATGCTAACGCATTTATTCACATAAATTCTTTTTAGTCATACTTTAATTTTGCTTTAGAAAGCTGAAACCAAGGAAAATGTCTGTGTCTAAAAGGTGTTTGGGTTTAGACAAAGAATAGAAGGTTGTACAAAGTGCTAAAAACATAGTTTACAAGCTTAATGGATGTCAGCATATCGAACCATTTCTAAATGTTAATACTCACAATAACTTTCAAGGTCCAAATGATGAAAAATGCATTGAAACTCACATTTTTCAACTCGTTAACATCCACATGTAGTTTTTTTATATGCTGGAAAACACATCATGAGTGAAATAAGCCATTAACACCTGGCTGAGCATTTACATCTTGAAACTGCAGTGTACCGATTCAGACTTCAGGGTTGCATATGCAACAAATCAAAGAGAAACTAATCCTGTCAACTTGCAGAGTATGGCTTTCTGCATCGTTATTCTTCTTCATGTATGGCTGAATTATTCCAGTATTACAACCTGTCATTTTGTAGTGTGGAGTCGTTTCACAGTGCTGCTCTCTCATTTGAAAGAATATGAGAAAACACAGAACCAGTTGCCTTATGGTTGCCCAAAATGCCTTCACTCTTATTCATAAAGGCTGGCCATCATGAAGCCTAAAGTCAAATGTATAAAACTGGGTATTTAAAATTTTAAACCTGTCGTGGAAAATATAACCAAACAACCATTGGTTGTTTGACGCAAGCACCTCGAAAACGGGTATTGTGATTTTGGTGTAGCCTAATTTTAAACTTTCTCCTACTCTCCGATGCTCTCTCTCACTTTCCCGCCCTCCTCTTTCTTTTATTCCCCTTTTGTCCCTTCTACTTCTGACCTAACTAAAAAGCTGTGCACAGTGCCTCACAATGAAGTGTGTTTCTTTCACATGTTAATGCTTTTACTCATGGCTCAGTGCACAGCACAAGGCACTAGAAACAGAGCTGCTCAGAAAAACAAGACTGTGTACACAGGCACATACGCACTTGGCATGGCAGGAGCGGCTACAGTTACAGTGAATCTAAATGAACTGCCACTGAGTCCCACTCAGCTGTGATGATGAACTTCCAAAACCAACAGGAAGAAAAAAAGACAAGCGAAAGAAAGAGAAGCGAAAGAAAGAAAGAAAGAAAGAAAGAAAGAAAGAAAGAAAGAAAGAAAGAAAGAAAGAAAGAAAGAAAGAAAGAAAGAAAAAGATCAGACAAAGCCTGACTTTAAATAAAGTGAGGCGGACAAGGATGGAAAAGAGATTGCGTATCCACTTTATCTCTATTGCAGACAGGCTTTTCATCATTCATGACCATTTCAGTGTAACACACAAAAGCCTATTACATTTGAAAAACAGGGTTTATGTGCCTGGGAGCTGATTGCAAAGATTCAACAGAGGGAAGGAAAACAATCTTCAAGATGAAAATACATGTGCATCTATTGATATTCATGCTGCTTGACAAACATGAGTAGGAACAAGTCGAATAAGCAGAATTATACGGCTGTATTCTATGACTGTGTGCATGCATGTGTGTGAAACTGGGTTTGCTTTACTACCTTGACACAAGTCCATTAAAACTTGGCTCATAACCAGGTTCCACATTAACTCTGTGTACAAAGTTTCTGTAAGTGGAAGTTCAGACCCATGACGAGCAATTAATACACGGATGTAATTAAATTTGTCGCAAAAGGCTTCGTTACACTAATTTGACTCTGTTTGGTGTGTTTCATTATTGTTTTATTATAATTAACATATTTAATATTTTACTCAATTAGCAACAACATGGGTGAGTTGTACTGAAGAACACCTGAGGGAGCATGAAGCCGACAGTATCTCTTTTAGCATAGAGAACAAAAAATACAATCGCTTTAACTATGAAGAGGTCATTTGTTTGCACATTGATATAAAGTATATTCACATAGAGCTGCAGACATTGTCATGGCTTTTGGAGTTTGTAGAAATGTAGGTGAAGGAATGATCATCTCTGTCACGTACAAGTGAACATATGCAGCATTTTTGAGGACATAGACACGACCATGTTGCACATTTTGGACAAGTACACATCATAATTGACATATTTCTCATAAAACACTGGAAAGAAAGTTTTTAGTGGGTTGTATCCACCTATAGAGTGATGCGGACTAAAGCTGCTTCATATTAATCGTCAGTATATAGAATAGAATAGAAGAATAGAAAAATATTTTATTTATCCAAGCCCTGGGAAATATTAACTGATATTAATATATATAACTTAATATTCACTAACGACCTGTCCAGGGTGTCCCCTGCCTTCACCCTAAGTCGGCTAGGATAGGCTCCAGCCCCCCCGCGACCCTAGTGAGGATTAAGCGGTGTATAGATAATGGATGGATGGATATTCACTAATACTAACATATAAACTGTGAATCACCGCATGCAAAACAGTCACAAACAACAAAAATGTTGTCATAGTTCACATGCAGGTGTTATATAAGCGAGCTACTCATCAATGTTTTGCCAACACATTTACAGTTTAGGATGATCAACTGTCTGACTAGTCTGAAATCCGGTTCTGGTGGGTGTTTTTATAATATGTTTTTTTAATCCTGCAGCTCAGGCATAAAAGGAGACATCTCCCTGCAAGCTTGAGAAGTCTGAGGAGTATTATGTTCAGCAGGTACTCTCTGTAGATACAAAAAATCACATTGGTTAGTCGCTAACATTAATGCCTTCTTCTTCTGATGACAGAGCGGGTACACTATGTAGTGGATCAAATTTACAGTCGAGAATTCAAACAGCGCAACAAAATGGCAGATTTACTATATAGGGAATTACATAGCGGGCAAGTGGATGTCAGAAACGAGGCATGTGTTTAATTTGGTGCACATCTAGGCTCTGCACTCAGATGTCACTGTTTGAGTTGTCATTCTTGTTACATTTCTGAGAGCTGGCGTGGTATTAACTGTGCATCTTTGCAATAGTTAGCCGCTGAGCTGTAGGGCCTCAAGAGCAGACTGATATACTGGATTTAGCATGTAGGAAAATAGCACTGCCAACTGTCTTCCCACAAAGAAAATGATCTTGGCTACTCATTGTTTCATCAGTATGGATTTCTGACAAACAGTCATGGCTGTGAAATGAATGCATTACACTGATTATTAGTCCAATCAATAAACCAGATAAAATAGGCTCTAAATGGTAATGTGGGTGGAGGAAGTTCAAGCTGACTGGTTAGTTAATGGCTTGATTTATACTTGGTGGCTCAGAGAAGTATGGCGTCTACCTGGCCACGGTCAAATCTTTAGCCAGCAGTTTAATATCATTTTCACCAGCATGCTATTTAGGGGCGCAGGTTAATAAGTCTAATAGCTCTGCATTTAGCTTACTGATGGCCCGTTGAGCCCCATCGCTCCTCCTGATTCCACCGAGCAGTAAGAAGCTAATCTCTCCCTCTGGGACCATTACTGTCTGTCTGTGTCCACTCTTTGTTTCTGCTGGACCACAGATTAGCTCAGCAGGGGCTCCGTGCTGAGTTAGCGGTCTTCTGAACATATGGTCTAAGGCTGATCAGGGCTCTCTCACGGGAGATGTTAACAGATAATTCCTACAGTTCATGTGATATCCAGACTGTGCAGCTGACATTTACCAGTCTGGTGTTGTTGTCTGTTTTAAGAAGGGTCTGTGCGAGTTTGAAAGGTGAGCAGAAGGCAACTCAATCCTTGGATCTTTCCAGTTGAACTTTTCTGTCACTGTTTGCATCTTTACAGTGCCTTATTATATCACCTTATTCTACCCTGGTTATTTTTCTATTGTTACTTCATTATTTCTTAATATTAATGTAAAAATTGTTTATGTGAAACACATCTTACATCTTGGATCTGATTTACACTGTTAGTCATTAAATCCTTGTAAGATGGGGCTGACAACACATCAGATCTCTGCTCATGGACACCCTAAAATCCCACTTTATAAATTAAAAAAACAACTCTAAAATCACTGCAGATCTTTGTTGCCACCCCTCACATGACAGTCACAGATTCTAACTTATTTTGGCAAAGAAAAGAAATCCCAGCATGCTCTTACAGACCTGAGTAGGACCAGTCGATATCTTCAGGGAGTTTTCTCAGGCCTTGGACCAGCGGTTCTGCTGCCACAACTATCGGAGACAGAGAGAGATTATAAGCGCCATTTTGCATTTCCAAAAACTCATACAAGTGCACAGTGACAGGTGAAACCAGACTTTACTAGAAAACAGCTGCTGTGGGACTTATTTGTGCCATATGATCAGTGATAACCTTTTTATGTGAACCAGCTCAACTCATTCCACTAGCAGCCTTCTAGAGGACAAACTGGCTCCATTCAGTCGGAGAGCAAAAGTCAAATTTGCTAATATGTTCATTTGTGATGCTACTGATTTGTGGCATACAAATTGGAGAAAAGTTGTGTAAGATGAATATTCTGTGTATGAACAGCTGATCTTTTAGCCTGGGTAACAACAAAGTGGCAACTACTGGGAACTAAGCCAACGTCAAAGTGCCAAAAACTGCAGTTCTTCAAACGGCCACTTGAGGCTGACCTCAAAACAAGTCAATCCCCATTAATCCCCAATGGTAAAATGACCAACTTCAGAGCAGAAACAAACGTGTTTACAGCCTGGTATGAAAGCTATATAGCAAATTTCTTAGTTCACAACATTTTTACAGAAGTAAACATTTATGTAATTCACCCATTTAAATAGCAATAAGACGCAAAGTTATGTAAATTTTGCATGGCTCACTGCAGCTGTAGTCAAGCTCCCAGGAGTTAGGCACAGTCCAGCACTGCTACGATGGTAATAGCGGGAGCCACCACACCAAGCATTAAAACATCTAATGTTGACATCATGAAGAGTTCATCCATCTTTACATACAGTCAGTGGCAACAACATCAATGTTTATAACACACCATCTTGTTCTGAGTCATCAGTTTAATCAAAAGTTTTGACAGGTCTGAATTTAACAAACCGAAAAAATGCTATTTTAATTCCATTTTAAGCCAGACACAGCATCAGAGTAAAACGACTTGTGTGTAACATACACAGAACTCTGAGATACGGCAGAAACAAAACCCTAACCTTTGGTGGCTTTAATAGACACACACGGGGTAGCAGGATTATTGTTGTCATTGAACAGTAGACCACTTTATAGGGAGCAGGAGGAAACTGCCTCAGCATTAACACACACACACACACACACACACACACACACACACACACACACACACACACACACACACACACACACACACACACACAGCTATCCATTTCATAGTAGTAATTTTCACTCAGGGACAGCTGAGGATACAATGATGAATGAAGTCACAGTTTGGTTGTATGTATCTGTGCGAGTGCGACTTGCCTGACTCAGTCTCACACCAGCTAACAGCTTCCTTTTCCTACATGATATGTAAGGATATTTTGTAACACATACATGCGCACAGACACACACACACACAAATGTACAACTCTCTCCTCCTTGTGCTATCTCTACTTAAGCTTCTCCCTCTTGGTTTTCACATTCTGTGTACCAGTTTTTCTTTCACGGATGAGTCACTGCTCTATGTGATGGTCAGTAAATTAAGTCATTATACAATCCACTGCATCTAAAACAAAACTCAAACACTGTTGGTGTATTTTTCATAAATGCTGCACTAAGAAGCACATTTACTAATCATTGTAGTTTGTAGCAGAAAAGTGATGTCATGTCAGCTCGATAATGTCAGCAACATTGTTAAGTGATAATTACTGGCGGGGAAAGTAGTGGAGTATATTTAAATAACAGCAATATAGCAACCCTGCCAGGACTTCATTTCCATTAAGCTGACACATTACCATAGCGTGTGTTCATGTTTCAAACTGGAAAAATATGTTTGAGTGGTTTGTGAGTGAGCTTTCAAAGCCATTAATGTAACCTCATACACTGTATATACAGTCTCGGTATGTTAAACTGTAAAGGTATTACAGTGATACAGTTAGGATTTATAACACAGCCAGATAACATATTTTATGGTACAACTGGGGTCAAAATTGGCACCAACGGGTACAATCTGACAAGCTTTTTGCTGCACTTTGCTTTAAAGAGGAGAAGAGAGGGGCAGGGAACGCACGCTAATACAGATTAGAACATCAAAATTCATCATAAACAGGACTGGCTCAAATACAACATGAATAAATAAAAAATAAGGGGACTAAAACAAAACATCTTCTCTTTCTTTGATCTTTCACTGCGAGCAAAAATACCAAAACCTGTCCTCCGAGAAGATGAAAGCCTTGTGTCGAGTCAGATTTAGGTCACGGACAACTACCATCATATTCACAACATTAAATCTGTCCATGTGGCACAGATGGATACAGAATAATCCCATTATTTACTGTTAACAGCAGCAGGATAGCAATGCAGCGTAAATCTGGATAAATTACTGCACATGTGACATATGCACTAGTGTGTATAGATTCATAAAACTACAGTATGTGTTGTTAAAACGCTAAACAAATGCAATGCCGTGCAGCCACAAATCCTCTTCTGTATCATCTGTGAAATCTTTGGCATGATGAATATTCAACAAGCCCTGATACAGATGCAGCCACAGGGGGATTTGATGCTTTACTTCATACTTGTTTTACTCACTTTTGCTATTTTCCCTTTTTTTCCCTCCCAAGTAAAAAATCTCATTGCTTTCTTTTTTGTTTTTAGAGGTTACAGAGGACTCTGCTGGCTAGCAGAGAGAAGAGCTTTTAGCAGACAACCTATGGGTCCTTCAAAGGCTTCAAGAAGGTTCATAAACATCTGAGCAGTGACTCATTTCTTAGACAATGAATAAAAATAAATATAATCACAGTTCTTTCCCTGATAGTTCTTCACCGTTAAATGAATCCAGAAGTTGGTTAAATATACCTTGCGAATACGTTAACCGTCGTTCCTTTAAAGAATACAAACACTCTGGAAATACAAAGTAAATGTGAAGATGTCAGTTGAATGTCCATGAGGGGGAATAGACCAAGTCTAGGACACATTGCACCACACTGTCCCGAAAGGAGTGACAACATAGAAAGCATAATTTAAAGTATAATAAAGACAGATGTAGCCACTGTGATGACACCAATTGGTTTGTGGATTCCCGCTTTGAAGCCTTGAGTTTGGAATTTGCCCACCAGCACCTTCATCATGATGACGAACTCAAGAGCATTGTGCAAGCTGATATGGCAACGACTTGTCAATTGTAAGCTTCACTGTCTGTGTTACTCTAAATGCTACCATGATTTACAAAATAAACATCACGGTGTATTGAAGGAGACTTTAAACTAGCAATTGAGAGCATAAACCCATTAGGAAAATGTTAAATGAGGTAACAAATGAAGTGAGAAGGAGGTTCACTTGCTCATAGACCTCTATGCATTCTTTATGTGGTCAGATGCGTCCCCCCCTGCTGGCTGATGGAAAGAATGCAGGTTTGTCAATTTTGCATTGGCTTCACTTTTTACAGAAGGATATGTCCACCTTTTATATTGTCTATGGACCAGACTGACCTGATTGTATGTAACTTACTATGCTGTTTTACATCTGCCTACTACAATGGTTCATGTATAGTGAGAATGACAAGGAGACAAGGACAACTAAAGTATGATGTGTATCAGTCTACACTATGAAACTGTACCTCAATTCTGCCTGCTTTTTTATGATATTCATTGCATTTGATGATCACAGTCGTGTTAGCATGAACAAGGAAAGGTAATGATGACAAATGAAAGGAGGGAATGAGAGAGAGAAGAATGGAATCGACTGCCGGGTTGTGGCGTCAATAATGGTTTCATTAACATCACACTGTGAGGGATTTTAATCTAATTAGCCCTTTGTAACTCAGTGCAACATGCACACACACATACACGCATACATACATCTATTATTTCAATGCAATTTTGAAACTCTTGTGAGAGTACAGACTTTACATTTAGGTACATAGAATATTTCGTTAGCCGTAAATAGGAAAGTGATTTGATTGCAGTGGATTTTCTACATTACTGTATGAAACTGAATTATGAGACAGAGTAAATGGACTATAAATCAATTTAAACATATTGGAATACATAATAAATCTATGTCAAAAGTCTTTCTTGCCATGTGGTCACTGTAATGTAAAAAATAGCAGCTACACATCCCATCTGGCTGATTCACTGGGTCTGCTGCTTTACAATGTCCTGCTCTTCACATTACTTTAGTCTTCAACCGGCATCTTTTCAGTCCAGTTTTACAAAAGAGGAACCAAAAAGCCAGATGGCCCAGCTTCAGTTGCCCTTTATTCAGGTCAGCCGGCTGATTCATACTGGCATGACTATTTCTTTGAAACATCTAAGTGGAGCTGCATTCACAGGAACGAGCTGGCCAAGTGAAAACCTCAAAGGTGACGGACTACATCTTTTAGCCAACCACTGTGTCTGAACAGGTTGCTACAGATGCTGCAGGCAACTGTTGCTTTAACCTGCTGTATTTAAAATGTTCACACAGCCAGTGGTGTTTAAATTGCCTCAACCACTGATTCAATAAAAGTGACACAAAGGCAGGAAGAGGATTAGAAGAATGTGGCATTAAAGTCTTCAAATTTGTTTTAAATTTTAGATTCATGTTTTTAACATTTATTGTTCATAGTCCCGTCTTGCCAATAAAAGGCACAGCTCTAATTATATTAAGGATGCAACTGTGAGAAATGCAAGTAATGAGGCGCCCTTGTGGCTTGGGAATTAAAGGCACTGACCATGAACGATAACATTCCAAGTTCAAGTGCAGCTGGGGACCATTGTTGCATCTGTCTACCCTTAATTTCTTGTCATTTCCTTCCTCTAAGTGTATTAAAGGCATAAAAAAGCTTTCTGTTAACAGCAATGAACATGGTACTAAAATATGACGGATTCCTGTGCACTGTATTGTGAGTGTAAAAGTCTTTGATTTCTGTAAAGAGCAGAAACTGTAAAGTTAATAAGCATTTGTTAAACATTTAAGACAAAAGAAAACGAGCAGCTGCTGGGTTTTGATGGACATTTTGGGTCATGCAGGTAAGTTTCACTTCTGAAGAGGAGACAGGCCTGTGGAAAGAGCTAAAGAGACACATACAGTAGCTGTCAGTCATTTGAGGCAGTAGAGGGATGAGGTGATGAGACGGTACTGTGCAAGCGAAAAGCCCGGAGCAGAGAGACACTGGTGCTCTGTGCTTTAAAGAGCACAGCAGAAAGAGATGGGACTTCACTGCTGCAGGCTGGCCATGCATGAAGCTCACAGCTGAATCACTGTGTTATTCCACACATGTGCACTCTATCTGCTTTATCAGATTTTCCAGGGTCTGACATTAAAGCTTTAGGTGACTGCAGCAGAAACAAGACATTTCTAAGGATGGTGTTTTATTCATACAAGAAAAGGTCAAAGGATGTGCAGTTTTTCAACAATGCTCTGCCTCATTGTCACGCACATCTGTCTTTGACGCCTGGATCAAGGGCAGCCAAAAAGTGACAGAGTAAAACTGGCTTCCAGGTATGAATCTGGTAAACAAATTTTGTGAACTATGGCCCCATTTTAGCATGACTGATGATGACTCAACCACAAAAGGAATAAAAACAGAATTAAAAAAGCCAAGTAAAATGCCAACCAGAGTGAATCAGGTACATGACACCCTTACTACAAGTTTCTCACATAGTGAAGTGTCAGTCACTGAGGATAATTTACGACAAGAGCAACACTCCAACATTTAATACGCCCAAAGCATGCTGAGGAACAGCAGAACTGACGATCATTAGTTCTCACTTGTCTGTTGGGTGAACGCTAACAGCTGGCACCTGACCTAACAAACGTGTAATTCAAATTATGCAGCAGGTAGTTTGACAACATGCAAACAGTGGCATTCGCTCTGGTAGTGAAAATGTGTTGTTTATATTATTACTTTAAGTTATGTTGTACATACAAGCAGGGATCTTCATTGACACCACTATCAGCACAATGCCACTTTTAAAGGTTTCAGAAATAAAACCAGGCCTCCATATAAGAAAGTGGACAAAGGCAAAGGTCTTGAAATTGCAGCTCTCATCTTCCTGACAGCCCAGTGTGTCTCCTCATATCTTCTTTCATCAATCCATCATGTTGGGCTTATTGTGGGAGTGATTTTGTGATGAAGTGTTGAAATTTAATGTTTCAGTCTATCTACTTGGCTATGACCTGTTGGCTTCCTTCTTTAGTTACCAATCTCTTGTGTTTCCTTGAAGGCCTTTCAGTAACCCCTTGAGAGGGGCCGTGAACTTGTTGCTTTCAATCAAACATAGACGTGTGGGCAGAGAGTTTTAGTACTGCGGTTTGTAAACTAGGCAGCCTGTATTTTAACTGCACTGAATTCAAGTGAAATGTCACTACTTTTTATTATTGTTTTCATACAGCAATAGCCTTGGATGGTGCTTTTTTATTTTTTTTTTGTGATGGAGATGCTGCAGGGTGGATTCACTGAAGGCGGCTCACTGTTATTAGACTTGGGATAAGTGAGCCAGTCCCAGCCGAACGCTAATGAATAGCACCGTGTTGGATTACAAGACTCCTGGGGCTGATTTAGCCCGAATCCTTATTGGTGCAAATGCAACCGAAGGATTGCATTCACACCGATACGAACTGATTTTTAACAGTAGATGTTATTACTGTTGCCCTATTAAATTAAGCCCTGGGTTCCTTTAGCAACAGAAAGCCTGCGTGTTCAAACCACAAGAGAGAAAGTGTCTATAAGGGACTGTGAATGTATCCATACATGAAGAGCCTGACAAATGAGGCCATATGAGTTTATTTTTTAGAAAAATCCCCACAATTTTATCATTTTTTTCAGTTAAAAACAAACTATGTATCAACTTAATTTAGTGCCAGAGCACAGAGTATAAGATTGGGTGATTTCTACACATCTGGCATTTGACAATATCGACAGCGAAACACTGCAGTGGACGGTGATGCTGTAAATGCATTTTATGCGACACTTGATGCTTTCTGTTTTGTTGGTTTCTTATTCCCAATTGAACTCACTTATAAATAATTTGCTTTGGCTATTTTGGATGCATTTTAAGTCTGATTAAAAGAGAGAGACAGAGGCAGAGAGAGAGAGAGAGAGAGGTCCATTTTTTAGGTCACACAGTGATGCCTGAGGTGTGTGGAGTTTGTGCATGTCATGTGAGCTAGTGTTACTAATGTAACCTAATGATGTAATTTTTGCATAGCCCAGCAAAAGCTATGGTTGTTGGAGTGGATACATGGCATACAAAGCATCTGATTTCAACAAGCTTCACCACCCTCATACAACAAGAAGCAGAACTACATTTCTATCCTAATGACTAGTCTTTCAGCTTCACTAGCAGCTCTGTGTAGCCTTGGTTCTACTCTCTTGCAGATGAATACAGGGACATCATGGATGTGTGGTTGTTATTATACTACTTTTCTAGTTTGTTTGAGTTTGCTTGAAAGGCTGCTGTTCCACACATACGCAGTAGGTTGTATCTACGCATTTCATACAAACTCAGTAGTATTGTGTGTATTATTGTCCTTGTAAAGTAGTTTCACAACAGACTATCTCCTCAGATGTGCAAATGCTCACGAACTCAAGGTTAGGAAAAGCACTGTCCCGAGGTTTTACTTCAACTCTGCGGTGCTTTGAGCTACGCTAACATTAGTATGCTATTATGTTCAGAACGGTGACATGGCAACGTTTTACTGTGTTTACAATCTTACGTTGTAATGGCAACAAAGTACAGTTGAGAATGATTGGAATGTCATCAGTTTTACCAGTTTGGACCAATAAAACTTTGACCTGATGATAGCGCGACACGAAAAGTCAGGAGATCATCAAAGTCAGTGGGATGCATCATTTGGAAACCATAAATGTCTATACCAGACATAGTGCAAATCTACCGCGTAGATGCTGAGATATTTCACTGGATAAGTTAAAACGTCCACCGAGATGAGAAGTCTGGGGATGACCAGAGTTTAGCCTTGATCGTCTAGGGGGGAGATAACATCAAGATAATCCATCCAATAGCTGTCGAGACATTTCACTGAAAAAATTCACGTTGGTGGGAGTTGAAAAGTGAGGAGCTTGACAAAGGCATTGGAATTCATCCTCCAAGGACCACAAAAGTCTACAGAATTTACCCTGCAATTT